GGTTGGGGGGGGGGGCATGTGCATTGTAGTTTTTTCCCATCTCCCTCCTGGCATTCCCTGGTTGTGTGTGTGTGTCTGTGGTGTGAGTTTGAGGTCAGAAATGAAGATGTATCAGTGATTCTCGTGTGATTCCAACTTCTTGCCTGAGCTTTGGGTCAAATCTCAGTTCTTATTTCCTTGGGATGAAAAGGGGCAGCTCGTGACACATGAAGAGTTATCTTAATTCTGTTGTCATACGTTGTATGATGCTTTACAGCTGGATCAGTACATTTTCAACCCTCTAAACCAGATTTTTCAAGGTATTTTTCTGTTGTTTCACTGTTGGATTGCAATTCTGAGCTGTGATTGATAGGGGTTGAATATTTATTACATTGGGAAGGATGGGATTCTCCAGTCAGGCTGGGCTGGGTTGTTTTGGCCTTTTGTGCAAATTATTTGAGCAACATAAACACTGGTTTTTATCAGATAGTGTTTGGTTTTCAGTCTAGAGTGCTATCAGCACAGGCCTTAATTAAATCGTGGCTTTTTGGGTAAAATTTATATATCTGGGAACACATCACTTTCTGTGGGGCTCTAAATCCTCCTGAGTTGTTGGTTCTGTGGGGCAGAGCTGTGCTTTCACATCGCCAGAGCAATCTCCAGGCACAACAAGAGTGTGATAGAAATAATAAATAAACTAATAAATCAGTTTTCCTCAGCTCTCACCCCTTAAATTGGGGCCAGAAAGAAACACCATTGGTGGCAGAAGCAGTGAGGAAACTGCAATCCCTGATGTCCCACGAGGAGCATGACTTAAAATCACATTTGGCATTTAATTTAGGGAGTACAGAGCCAGTGCAGAAGGGAGATGTGTCAGGTACACAATTAACTCTGATAGGAGGCTCTCAAACCATGGGGCACCTCAGGGAGTGATTTGTCACCACCCTCCCAGAGGGGATCTTTAATTGGTGTGTCATGACACCAAATCCATGACAATTGTGTTATTCCTGCTGCTGTGGGCCAGGGAACCCAACTAAGGGGAACAAAAGCTCCTGGAGGAATCCCACAATGTTTTAAAAAGTTCATCTTTCCTCCTCCCTGTTAAAATTGAGGAGCTCTTTCCACAAACCCACTTTTTGTGATTCTTTCTCTCTTGTTCAGACAGAAGTGTGGAAATACATCAGATTGTGGATGTGGGACTCCTTCAAAACCACAGGGAAAGTCCTTGTCTACTGGAAGTAGTATTTAATGTTTACAGTATTATAAACAAACAGTAATTGTAGTGTCTGTGAACATCTGTACAACAGTTATGGACAACTGTGGAGCTTATGGACATCTAGGTGAATATTCATTTACGTGATATAAAGTTTTCATTTATTTAAGATAAAGTTTGTTTAATCTAAAGCTCCTGTGCTGATCACTGGTAGGCGTTTCCTGCCTTGTGATACACACTCAGGGTGTGCAGGCAGGGCTCCATAAGGCACCCAAGGGTTTCAATTCCTCATAAATAAACATGGAAATAAATGATGGGACCAGCAAATTGGATTTGAGATGGTGGAAAGGGACATCAGATGTTTGCTTGATACAGTTGTGTCACGTACAAATGTGGGAGTTCTGACTAAATTAATCAACTTGACCTCCCAGAGAACTTCAAAGGGGAGTGTGAGAGGGGCTGGGCCTGGTGTGAAATGTGCTGCAAACATTTGTTCTGGTACATTTGGTTCTCAATTTACAATGAGGAAGGTTCATTCATCTGCAGAGACATTGCTTAATGGCCTCCAAGCAGCCAGAACCTTTATTAATCTCACATTTCATGGGAAGGGCAGAGCTGCTGAGTGCTGAAAGAAGTGGCATTTTAACTGAACTGGTGTTTGTGTTCTGATGGCCAGGGTTACATTTCATCCTGACTTCTCACTCATCTCCAACTCCCCTGGAATACCCAAAGGTGGCTGTTACAGAGCAGCTTCTTCAGCCTGGTTGGCCTTTAGTGCTGACAAGGTCCTTGTGTCAGTGTTTTGTGGAAGTGCTCCTTCATGTTTTCCCCTTCCGTGGAAGAGAATCCATGGCAGAAACAAGAGAATTAGTCTTGTTACACTTGACATGTGTGGTGAATCAGACACGTGGATGTTGTGCTGTTTATTTGCTTTGAAAATTAAAATAATGCCAAACATATGTAATGCATAAAGATGTGTGAATATGGTTATGCCTCTGTACAATATTCCAAGCTTGGCCTGGGATGAGGGCAAGATTTTCCCAGTGGTAGGAAAACTTCCCCAGCTCTTGTTCTGAGCTTTACATGCCCAGGGGAAACAGTGTGAAAAGCAGAGTGTGTTGAGAAGCTGCTTTTTCTCCTCCTCTTCTCCCTTTCTGGCCCTTTTCCTGCCCCTGTTTCATTGCTGCAAGTGCACACAGGTTATTTTCCTTCCTTCAGGTCACTGCTGGGGAGGGAAAAGCCACCAGACTTAATCCATAAAGGACTGATATTACCTGCAGCATCTGCAGCCGTGCTTGGGCTCTGTCTCAGATGGCCTGGCATGAAATAGTTACCATTAAACATTAATCAGGGGGCACAGATGGGTGTCAAGTGCTTAGAACTGCAGCAGGGAGAGAATCTGCAGGATCATTTCCAATATTTCTGTGATGTGATGAAGTATTGAATGTCCAGCAGTAGTTGAATATTTTGGCAAATGCTCAAAGAATTGACTGTTTTAAAGGTGCAGTTTGTTTCCAGTAAAAGTCCAGAACACCTTCCATAGGAAGAATAATGGGACTATTCCAGGATCTCAGTGGGAAGGGTTTGGGAAGAGTTTATCATGGAGTTTTAAAGACATAAACAGGTTAAAGAAATAATGTGAGTAAACTGATTGTAATTGGTAAAAAGGACTGGGTGCTGTGACATCCATGTTCTGCAGGATGAGGGGACAGCCGGGAATGAGGGCCTGATTCCCAAGATTATTGGAAAATAGGACATATTATCCTCTGCACTCACCAGCACAGCCAACAGCACATTCCTGAGGAGAAATCCAGGGGGAATTGCCAGAAGCCTGAGAGACTGTGGAGTGAATCCATTTGTATTCTAGAAAGTGCTGATAAAGATGTAAATGCAATCTCATTATTTGCCAGTCTTTAAACTGAGACAGCATCTGATAAGCTGATTGTTTGAACTGTGCTGTGGAAGGGGGGCCCTGATCACATCACCCTCCCTTACCTTCCATCCCAGTGGAATTGCTGTGGGATAACTTGTTTAGAATCTTTAATACAGCTGCAATATGGCCAAATCCAAACATCTGGAAATCCTCAGGGAAGCCTTACTGAGCCTTTTCAAAATCATGAGGTTAATTTAAAAAAATAAGGATTTTTAAAATAAAATTTAAAATTATTATAAATTAATGTTGTTTGTTTGTTTGTTTATCTCTTGTTTTGGAGTGGCACAACCTGGTTTTCTCTGCAACCAGCAGGTTTCACCTTCTACTTTGAGTTAAAATAAGTGGTAAACTACTGAGGGCGTAAGAACCAGGCCAGATCTCCTCCTTGATACACAAAGAAGGAGAAATGGAGGGGCCACCACTCTGAGCAACAAATGTTCAGGTTTTCAACCCCCAGATTATTTGAAGGCACGTTGCAAAGGTGCAGATCTCCAGTCTGAGCTGTCACTGCACCCCTGTGTTCCAGGTCATGGTGTTTCTATGCAGATTTTGTTCAGCTCTGCCCTGCTCTCACCATGGGGGAGTTTTTTGTGCCTCTGGAGGGGCAGGGGATGGTTGTGGTGGGGAGGCCACACAAACCCCGGGAGCAGCATCACCCTCAGGGCTGTGAGTTTGGGCTTGGAGGCCCATCTTCCCTGGGCTGTTTTTTATTGGAGCAGGAATGTGATCACAAAGCTGTAAAATTCAGTGGGATATAATTCTGTAGCCCAGCCCTGCCGTTACTGGGAGTGTTAATTACTCCATCCTTAACCCTCCTGTAGAGCACAAAGGAGAGTTAACTGCTTTGGCCCGGTGTCAAGCTGCACGTTGGGGTTTCAGAACTTCAAGTCTTGGATCTGAAGCAAAGGAGTTTTATGAACTGGCTTTCAGCAGTCAAGTGCTCTGTAAATCAGCAGTTAGAACCCAGCCCTGCTCTTCTGCCCATGGGTTTGCACAGCTGATTATCAGCATGGTTATATCCGAAGTAAATAAGTGGGGATCTATTAATGCAATAAAAGTCTGCCTGAATATCAGGTTTAATGAAACCAGGATGGGCAACACCAGGCTTTGAGCAGGGCTTTGGTGCCTCAGGTCTGAGCCATAATCTCTGCAAAGGCACATTTTTATAAGCAGAAAGTGCAATATCTGTATATAGGGAGAGAGAGGCAGGCAGAGAGACAGTGTGTGTGCTGTCATGTGGAGGGGCTGAGGAGCTTTCATGAATTCTTTCTCAATTTTGATTTTTGAGCCTCTGATCTCTGAGCAGGCTTGAAATATCCTTCACAGGGTATTTGAAAATTGGCCCCTTACCTGAAGAAGTTTCCCGTGCTCACATGAGGCTGATGGGAGGTGCTCACCCTTCAGATAGTTGGGGAAGGACTGTGAGGGGTTATGGCTCAGGCCATGGGGTGTGAATTTAGGTTAAGATTTGGAAGCTGCTGCCCCATTTCAGGCAGAGCCTTCAGTGACAAGGAGGGAATCAGATGTGTGTGTTTGTTCTTCCAAGGCTCCTGGTGTTTGCTGGGCAATAGGAGCCATTTCCCCGAGTTGGACTGAAAATCCTCTGCATTTTCTGTGTTGTGAGACTTGCAAATTGTGCAGTGATTAAACAAAATTATCCATTGATTGGCTGGGAAGTGCAGATTTCTCTCCACCAGATTTACACTCTTGTCCTGCTTGTGTGATGAGGAAGTCAGAGGATCTCAGAAGACACTGAGATTTCTGGGTGTACAAAAGCATTTTATATTGTCATGTAACTGAGCAGCTCAACAGGCTGGATGTGAGATTCCTGAGGAATTGCCACTGAGCGTCCAACCTTCTGTCCTCCTTTGCAGAATGATGAAGTCCTCTGTCCATCCAGAAGAAGATGACTTTGTGCCAGAGCTGCAGAGGAGCATCCACCCCCGGGAGAGGCCGGACTGGGAAGAGACGCTCAGCGCGATGGTAAAACACCTGGGCTGTGCTTTATACTCATTATTGCCACTTCTGAGCACTCTACTCTTCTATCCCACTTACCCATTTACATTCCCCGAGTTTCAGCCTTTTAAATGGATTGCACAGTACTTTGAACAAGCCCCAAATGCTTCCCTTCCTCTGGCAGTGTGTCAGGGAGAGGGAAGCAGCACACTCAGCTCCTCTGCCCTGTTAATACGAGCCCCAGAGCAGGGCTGGGAGCCAATTAAAAGGTCCAGAATGTCACAACGATTTTCAGTCTGCATTAACCTCTTTTTCAGCAAGACTTCTGAGCATGAAGGCAGTTTCTTGTAAAAACATGCTCTTTGAAGCATGCAGCATTGTGAGAGAATATGATTTTAGCAGAATGCTGGCTCAGTCCACGGGAATAAAAGCTCACTCAGCCTGAGAGCAAACCTGCCATCAGAGGGAGCAGAGCTGCAGCAGAGCAGACACAAAGGTGCTGTTCTGCTTACAGGCACTGGGCCCAGACAGCTGGATTACCTTAATATATATGTTTTCTTCTTAAATGAGTGAGTAAAGCAGCTGCAGTTCCACCTCCCCAACTCCCTCCAGCATTCACTGAGTTGGGAAGGTTGGCAGCCAAACTTCACTGGCAGCCAAACAGGGCAATCAGATCAGGTGTTTTGGGAGGTTCTTTCACCTCACAGAAGCTTGACTTGCCTTCTGTCAGCACAGGAGTGTCTGGAAGTTGTGTCTTGCTTGTTATTTTCAGAATTTCCAAATTGCCTCATTGGCAAACTAAGCTGGAGAGGGAATTGGCATCTGGGACAGACCTCGTATGGGGGAAGGTGTGACTATTCCAGGACAGCAGTGGTGCCTCTCAGGGTCAGTCTTGGCTAAGATCACTTACTGGGAAGAGCCCCCAGTGACAATTTCCCCCTGTGTTAGATCCTGGCTTCAGCCTGGAAAAGCCATCTGCTCCCTGCTCCTGGAATACCAACAGCAGGAGAGAGGGGCTGGATGTGTCTGTGCTGCAGGACAGTCAGATCCACCTGATGTCTGGGGTTCATCCCAGTGGGTTATTAGGAGTTTAAAGCACTGTCAATACCTGGCTGGGTTGTGTGGAGTGGGTTTTGGATGAGCTGTTCTTTGTGCAACATTCAGAAAAGGGAGGGATAATGAACTCCCCGAGAGCCAGGGATTCTTTGAACAGGGGCACAAAGATAAGTCCTGTGGTTTACTCTTTTAAAAACGTCATCAAACCATATATAATACAATGGTAATATTTTGCTCCAAAATTTATTTTCAAGCCATAAAGAGCAACCCAAAGCATAGACTTCACCAGTGGTTTTGTCTCTGGTGTCTCTGTGCTTGTGGCTCTGCTTGACTCCTTGGTTATCCACTGTTAATGTTCATTGAATTCCAGACTGGTTTCTGTTGAGAGGGACCTTGAAGATCATCTCATTCCACCCCCTGCCATGGGCAGGGACACCTTCCACTAGCCCAGGTGGCTCCAGCCTGGCCTTGGACACTTCCAGGGATGGGGCAGCCACAGCTTCTGTGGGCAACCTGTGCCAGGGCCTCACCACCCTCCCAAGCCAGGAATTCCTTCCCAATATCCCATCTCTCCCTGCCCTCTGGCAGTGGGAAGCCATTACCCCTTGTCCTGTCCCTCCATCCCTTGTCCCAAGTCCCTCTCCAGCTCTCCTGGAGCCCCTTTAGGCCCTAGAAGGGGCTCTCAGGTCTCCCTGGATCCTTCTCTCCTCCAGGTGAACCCCCCCAGCTCTCCCAACCTGTCAGTTTTGAATTTCTGCAGTTTTCACTTCCTATTTTGTTCCCCTCCTGTGTGGATGTGTTTCCTTCCCCCACCTTGGCCAGCAGTGCTCTGTGCCTGCAGTGTGGGAGCCCTGTCTGTGCTGATCAGTGCAGCTCAGGCAGCAGCTGCTCCGACCCCCTGGAGCCAGGAGTGTGCTGGGAGTCACCCTGTGCCATCTCTGTGCTGTCTGCAACCCCCAGGGTGTCTCAGAGCCGACAGGCTGTAATTCAGTGTCCCCACCTGTGACACAAGTTACCTGGCACATCTCATCTGCTGTTGTTTTGTGTCTCATTGTTGATTTACAGTGAAGGGAACCTTCCCCTGTTGGAGGTTGTTGTGCTCATGGACACTGTTCAGTGTTGGTTTTACACGTCACCCTGCACAGTGTTCCTCCCACACTTCATTCACTATTCACTAATAGTCCTAATTCACCAATTGTCCTATTAATTCACAATTTAGAACATGTTCTCTCACACAGCTCAGTGACAGTAATAGTAAAACTGAACAGTCCACTATGGAAAAGAGATTTCGAGGGTGATAAACAGGAAAACTCCCCTCTTGCAGCACAGTGGTTTGGTGTGATGAAAGACAATGTGAAGCTACTGAACCTGTATTTATAATGCCTTGGATTTGTGCTCACAGGGTTGTTTTGACCTCAGGGTCCTGTGAATGCAGTGTAGATATGGAGAAAATCCTCACTTGCTCATGTTTACTGTGCTGAGTGAATCACATTTGCACTTTCAACCTCTGCCCTGTGTCCAGCCAGAGGTAATATTTAGCTGTAAATATTTGCAGGACCTTATTCAACACTGCCACTGTTCTCTGTTTAACCAGCACATCTTCAATATTCTGCCTCTTTCCTGATCATTTTAAGCCTGAGATTTTCCCCCTCCCTCCATTCCTTCACTTCGTATTTTTAGCAGCTTCTAGTTTAGCCTTGTCCCAGAGGATGCTCCTTCCATGGGTTGTGACCATCTTACAGCACCACAATACGTGGAATTCTTGGTTAGTGGTTGTTGAAGTTGCAGATTTCAGGTTTTGGTGGTGCCTGAAGTTCCAGCCCCTGGGGAATGGAGGGTTGGAGAAGTTGTTTTCTCCCCTCCATTGCTTCCCCTGGCAGAGCTGGAGCCCTGGTGGGCTTTGGCACCTCACATGAATGTCACCTCTGCTAGGTGAGCAAGCACTGGACAAGTGACACTGGGAGAGCTTGGCAGGTCCTGGCACAGGTGATTCTTCTTCCCCTGTCTCCTGACCTTTGCCTTTGTACCTGCTTTTGTACTTTGGGAAAAGGCCATTTTTTACTCACAGTTACATGAACATACCCAAGTCATCCCTACTCTTCCTTCCCCTCTTATCCACAATATTTTTCAAAGTGCTTATTATTAATTGATGTGAGTGCTTTGTTTTGAGAGCTTTTTCTTAACAAGAAATAAATTGAAGGTCTTTCTAAATGCATGGAGGTTGAATGACCCCTGTACTGTAAATAAAAGTGACAGAAACTATTTTTATTATTTCTGTCATTGCCAGTTCATTCTGGGCACCTGAGCTTTGGTCCTTTGTTGGATGCTACTTTTATCATGTTCTTTATGCTCATTATTTGTATTTTCACCCGCTTCTTAAACTGCTTGTTTGGTGTTTGTGGTTTAGCAGGAAGACAAGGGATTTTGTGTTGGAGAGCTGGTTTATTTAGGGAGAATCACTGAATCCCAAAATGGTTTGGGTCAGAAGGGACCTTAAAGCCCATCCAGTCCCACCCCCTGCCATGGGCAGGGACACCTTCCACTGTCCCAGGTTGCTCCAAGCCCCGTCCAACCTGGCCTTGGACACTTCCAGGGATGGGACATCCCTTCTTTGGTATTTCTGGTGGTTCTTAACTCCCTAGAGTGGTGGATCCAGCGCTGTAGGAGTTGAGGTCCAGGCTGGAGGAGCAGCAGCTCTGGCTGGACAGAGCTCCCAGGACTGGGGGATGAGGCGGCTGCTCCTCAGGGACTGCTGTGGTTTGTATTCCCCCTCAACGCATGGCTGTATTTTTAGAGTTTAGACACATATTAGACACGTTTTTTGTGGCTGTCTCAGCCCCCAATTCCCTGTGTGCTGCCGTGTCCTGCTGGGTGACCTTCCCACAGCCCAGGTTTTCCTGCTCTGCTCCACTTCAGAACGTGCAGTTGGTGATAGGGACTTTCTCTGTAGAACACTTGTGGGTTCTGGGGCTTAAAAGCCATGTGTGAGCCGAGTCAAACTGCAGGATATGGATTTTCTAACATTTCTCTGAGACAGTAATGTTATTTTAAAGGAAAGGGATCTCTTTTCCTTGTCAGGCCCTGCCGAGAGCTCTGTTTCCACCTTACAAGAAATGAGGTGGTGAAAGTGCCTTTCTGTGATATTTCTCTCAGGAGCCTACAAACAGCTGTCCTCAGCCTGCATTAATTAGCAGCAATTGGTATTTGTACTCAGTATTCCCTTTAGCATGTGACCTCCTGAGTTACTCCCATCACCTCTTCATGAGGTCAGTAAGTTGGGGTGTTCAAAAGCAGTGAGCCAACAGCTCTGCCCCAGCAGCTGCTGTGCTCGGGGACACACCTCTGTCCCCACTGCCTTTGTCTTCCACTTGTCTACATTTTATGGGGAAGTGGATTGAAACAGTGAGACAAGTACAAAAATCTTGATTTATGCCCCCCATTGAAATTGTGCTGTCACAGAAAGGTGCCCCTGCAGCTGGGTTAACCTGGCACTGCAGATGAGGAGAAAATACTCACTCCAAGACAGAAATAGAGGTTTTTTCCTGTACATATCTATATCTATATCTATATCTATATGTGTATCTGCTCTTCTGAGGCCCCACCTGCAGTGGTCTGTCCAGCTCGGGGGTCCCAGCATAAGAAGGACGTGGAGCTGCTGGAGCGAGTCTGGAGGAGGCCCCGGAGATGCTCCCAGGGCTGGAGCCCCTCTGCTCTGGAGCCAGGCTGGGAGAGCTGGGGGAGTTCACCTGGAGAAGAGAAGGCTCCCAGGGAGACCTGAGAGCCCCTTGCAGGGCCTAAAGGGGCTCCAGGAGAGCTGGAGAGGGACTTGGGACAAGGGATGGAGGGACAGGACACAGGGAATGGCTTCCCACTGCCAGAGGGCAGGGTTAGATGGGATATTGGGAAGGAATTGTTCCCTATGAGGGTGGGCAGGCCCTGGCCCAGGTTGCCCAGAGAAGCTGTGGCTGCCC